CCCCCCCCCCCCCCCCCCCCCCCGCGCCCCCTTTAATGGTAAGCAACACAAAAGCACAGTTAAGCTGTGAGTCTCAAAACTGTTGTACAGTGTTTCTCAATCTTGGCAATTTTCATATGCATGAAACTCCCAGAATTCCTCAGTTAGCAAGATAATCCAGGGTGATATCTGAAAGGATGAGAAACACTGCTGTAGAATGAAACCAATCATGTAGTGCCTCCTGGTGGTCAGTATAACATTACATTATGTTGCAAATGTGAAAAATATTTAAAGACTATATTGTAAAGTATATTCAGTTCAAAAAAATCAGCGTAACTGGCTCAAAGCTCAGTCTGTACATTTTTTTCCTGAAAGTATAGGACATTACTGTAATTTTAGACATTGTTTCTAGCTTCTTTAGAATCAGAGCAGAATTAAAAGCTACACGGCAAATGGGTCTTTTCAGCTTTGTTCTTGCAATGTAATTGCATGGATTAGTATTTGCAGATGAGAATCAATTGAGATTATGGGAAAACACTTAAATCTCATTCTTAATGTTTTCACCCTTGTTAAAGTCTTCCAGTTCTTTTATCTTACCTGACAAATACTCCCCTCAAAGGACAAAAAATATCAATGCTGTTTAGATTGTTAAACTTCAATGAAGCCTACAGATTATTAGATTCTTTTGAGCGGGAGAAATTTAGACACGAAACAGAAGTATAGAGTATGCTGTTGAAGAATCAAATTTATTTTTTAAAAAAATCTGAACATACAGAATTGATACTTTAGCATCTAAATTCTTGTAATTCTAAAATCTTATAAACATATATCAGTACTGATTTCAATGCCAGTATTTTACCACTGTATGGTACTGATATCTTTATGTATAATTTGCCAAAGGTTTTTCATATTATTCTTTGAATATCCTGTCATTCTAAATTATTGTAATAGCTATGGAGTTGCTACTGTGGCCATTTTCACTTAGCATTTTGCATACCTATGACTGTCTAGCTGGTAAACCTGCACATCACCCATATCAGTCAACAAATACACAAATGACACATACAATTATTTCAAACAGAAACATATTGGTTTCAAAGACTTACATAAAAAAGCCTTTGCCCAACCTGGCCGTTACTTAACTTACTGCAGAGTTAGGCAACAGGATTGGGTCCAGCAGGGCCAGTCACTTGCTTTTCTGCAGAGTCACTGTTTGTGGAACCGAACTGTGTAAGCAATTTGTGGTTCCCTCAAGCAGGCAGAGATCCTCATCAGGAAAATTCTGAGACTCAAAATCTAAAAGGCACCCCAGCAAAATGTTAGAAAAACATAAAGCAACCCAATGTAGCCTTTTAACAATGTCCAAATACCTCATTTATCCGATCAAACGGTGAAGGACCTGTCCCTTGTGCAGAAAACCCAGAAGAACAGCAGAGGGCTTCTTTTATTACATAGGCACATAACCCAACCCCATATTTCTGCCATAGGTGCTACTAGTTTCATAGGCAGCTAGGAGATCAATGAGTAGACTTGTGGAGAATGGTGGCGTTCTCCAATTCTGATCCCACAGGCTAATGGGTTTATTTATTTATTTATTTATTTAAAAGAAAGTTTAATGCTATTTTCAAAACTAAAAACTGAAAGCAGATTACAATTAAGCAATTGGAAGCAATAAGAAAGCTTCAGATTATTCTGTTCCAAAAAGCCTTTGGTAGAGTTGTTGCACCAAAAAAGTCCAAGGAATCAGGCACAATACAACCACTCCTTGCTTAACAATTACCTTGGATGGTGACCATTTACAAATACAGTGATTTAAAAACTCATTTTTAGGCCAAGGTGTGTGCATTTAGGACCAATTTTTGTGTGCCTGACTACAAAAGTCTTCAGCGTGAAACTGATTAAAGTCTGGTCAGTTTCAGACAGCAGCAGGAACCAGCTGGAGGTTCTAATCAATTAATATAAGTCATAAGGATGAGCTTGTTAACTTGCACATTTTTAGGGACATTCTATGAGAAAAAACAGCTCAGGAAGAGATTACTTGTATAAACAACCTCTCTGCCCTGTGAGGGGGCAAAAAGGAAAACATGGGTCAGGCTTAGTGTACTATATAACTTGACTTGAATTAGATGGTATAACCAGTGATGTTGACTTAGTGAACATTTTGATGCAGTCACTAAACAAGGAGAGGCTTGAATTCTACATACCTCTTCCTGTGAGTAGATGTAGTTTTTTTCCCCCCAACCTACTGCTCTTTCTTTGCCTGTGCCTACTTTTAACAGTGGCATTACCTTTATGCTTAGTAAAAAATGCATTTTCTTAACTCCCTCAGCATTGCTCCCAAGAAAGTATTAAGGCTGCAGTTCAGCATGAATTCTATTGACTTTTGCTGGCAACATAATGTAATTCTGCCCAACTGTTCTGTTAGATTTCCTGTGATAAAGCTGATGAAATGTGGTTGCCTCTAGCCTGAAAAATATCTAGGGATCTGTATGCATGGAAAGCTGTTATGTCTCTGTGCGTAGGTTGGCTTAACTTCAAAGTTATTCATCATCTAGCATGATATAGCAGATGGTAGAACCAAGGGGCCCCAAGGCAGTAGTAGCTATGCTAATATTTAAAATACTAAATTTTAAAACTAACAATTTATTTTTATAGCTGAGATCCTGATCCATAGTAATTTTAGAGAAATAATTTTAATAATTTTTTAAAAAAATACAAATAATCAGCATAGAGATGGAAGGGACTTTGGAGGTCTTCTAGTCCAACCCCCTGCTCAAGCAAGAGACCCTATACTATTTCAGAAAGTGGTTGTCCAGGCTCTTCTTAAAAACCTCTTCCACTGGTTATTTGTTCTCACGTTAGGATGTTTGTCCTTAATTCCAGGTTGCTTCTCTCCTAGATTAGTTTCCATCCATTGTTTCTTGTCCTGCCTCTGGTGCTTTGGAAAATAAGTTGACCTTTCTATAATAACAAGTTGGCTCTTCTTTGTGGCATCTCCTCAAATACTGGAATACTCCTATTATGTCACCCCTAGTCCTGGATGCAGTATTCCAGGTGTAATATTACTAAGGTTTTCTTAATTGGTACTAATATACTTCATGCAATTTTGATTCTAGGTCTCTGTTTATACAACCAAAGATTGAATTAGCTGTTTTGACTGCTACCACCACTGTATATTGACCACTAGGGAAAGGGTCCCCAACTCCTGGGCTGAGTCCTGGTACCAGTCTGAGCAAGGATGGATGAGTGCACACAGCTCCATGTCTAGTGAAGAGAAGGACCAGGGGAGATATGATAGCAGTGTTCCAATATTTGAGGGGCTGCCACAGGGGAAGGGAGTCAAGCTATTTTCCAAGGTAACGGAAGGCCAGACAAGCAATAATGGATGGAAACTGATCAAGGAGAGATTCAAGCTACCGAGTCTTATTTTCTTTTGAAATAAGCACTTGGCCTTATTTTCGGGAAGGTCTTATTATTTTTGAGCTACAGGAGGTGGTGAACGTGGTCACTTCATCACTGCTGCTGTGTTGCGCTGCTGCAGTAGTGAGGCGCATCACTGGGCCTGCCGCTCGTTTTGTGGCAGCCATTAGTGTAACAGAAGGGGCACGGTGACTAGAGTTGCAGGAGCGGCTGTTAGATAAGGGCATGTGGGGGGGGTGTG